GAAAGTTTGTTCCGGATTTGACAGTTGTTCTTATGTGTCGTGAATAGGTCATTGTGGTCCCTTGAGGGGCTATTTAGCCAAGCATCGTATGATCATAATCGGTTTGAGGTCCGTGGATGGATCTAAATGTGAATGTGGGCTCTATATCAGGCTGGGTGTGCTCATCTCAGCATAGCGTTATTTTCGAAAGGGATTTCGGGCCTTGGATGTTATTTCTGTCGTCAGCTATTCTGCGTAATCTATATTATACTAGGTGGGCTGTGAGGTGGTTTGATTATTCGCACTCGTATTGAGGTCCTGTATGTTTTGTGGTATTATGTGAGCTTGATGGCTCTCGATATGCAGATCATATATCGCACCTTAGTTGTTCTTGAGTTTTGTAGCGCGTGATGCTACCCGTTTCCCCAGGATTTGTATTATGCACTTGGCGTGCTTATGGTTGATATTCGGGCATTTCGTGAGTATAAGCGTTACAGCTCGATGTGTGTTTTCTTTAGATTATTATATTGTTTGGATCGGGTGGTACGCCGCCATGGGTATCATGGTTGGATCGGGTTGCACGCCACAACGGTATCATGTGTGGATCGGGTTGCACGCTGTAACAATGTGATATTGAGTACAGTTTCTCATATCTATCATTGTGTGTTTTGCTTTTCGTTTCCTGAGAAAGGTCCATAACATCTTTTTGGTTGTTTAAATTAGTTACGTGGGTTGAGTAGATCTTTACAGAGTTCGTTTCCTTATGTATCACCTTCGAGTTTGTAGCTTGTTGGCACATTGTGGCATCATATGAGACTTTTGGCAGTGTCAGAGGTGGCTTACTGCCTGAGCAGCTTGTACTGGGTGAGACGAGATTATTGGACCTAGGATCAGTGTGATCAGATTTATATGAAGCATATTAAAGAGTAAATATTGTTATTCAGTCCAGAATGAGGTAATGGTTCTTGTCGGGAGGAGAGACTCCATAAATTGTGATTCGGCAGGTGGTTATGAGTTGTACACATCTTCTCTGTCGTGGCAGTATTGCGAGAGTTAAAGCAAGGCTTAGTTGGTCATGAGGTACACCACGGGCTTCGGGTCAGTGGAAATTTTAGCTGTTGTGCCTTGGAAAGATTGCCTTAGGCAAATGACTTACGCGGTGCATGCTAAGAATTCATTAAGGGTATACAATCATGTGTTGGTACATCATGTAGTGATGGATACAATGTTCGTATTTTGGAAACAGACTTGGTAGAGAATTTCAGGTGTTGGAATTTTGCTCTAAGGCTTATTTGCCTAAATAAAGGGGAGGATCTTCAGATTTGCTCGAGCTAATTTGCTCAGCTGGGTTGTGGTAGCACGGGTAGGTGCACGAGGTGTTAAACAGTGATTTCAGACAACTCCATAACAGTTATTAGCACGTTCGAGGACGAACGTATGTTTAAGTGGGAGAAAATGTAACAACCCGACCGGTCGTTTTGAGATCTAGCACGTCATTCAGCAGTTTGAGGCCCTGAGTAGCTTCATTTAGGGTATTATGACTTGTACGTGTGGTCAAAATTGAAATTCGAGAAGTTCAGAGTTGATTTGGAGAGAAAATTCTAATTTTAGAAGCTTTAAGTTGGAGGAGTTGGCTCGAGTTGATTTTTTGAGTAAACGACCTCGGAATCGGGATTTGAAGGTTCCAACAGGTTTGTATGATGATTTTGGACTTGGGCGTATGTCCGGAGAGGGTCTTGGATGACCCGGGAGCGTTTCGGTGCCTATTATGGAAGTTGGCATTTTGGAAGAATTTCATAAATTTGAGTTGAAGTGCATTTCAAAGATGTCGACGTCCGTTTGGGATCCCGAGTTTGGGAATAGCTCCGTATGATGATTCCAATCTTAAGAGCACGTCCGAAAGTGGATTTGTAGGTCCATAGGTCATTTTGGGGTCATTTAGGCGAAAGTTGGAAATCTGGATAATTTTTAGAAGTTTGACCAGGAGTGGACTTTTTGATATCGGGGTCGAATTCTGATTCTGGAAGTTGGAGTAGGTCCGTAATGTCGAATGTGACTTGTGTGCAAAATTTGAGGTCAATCGGACTGGATTTGATAGGTTTCAACATAGAATATAGAAGTTTGAAGTTCTAAAGTTAATTAAGCTTGAATTGGGGTGAGATTCATGATTTCGATGTTGTTTGATGTGATTTAAGGTCTCGAGCATGTCCATGTTATGTTATTGGACTGGTTGGTGTGATCGGACGGGGTCCCGGGGGCCTCGGGTAAGTTTCAGATGCTTAACGGATCGATTTTTAACTAAGGAAAATGCTAAGGCAGCTGGTATCTGGTGTAGCCACACCTGCGAGGTTTTGGCTGTAGGTGCGGAGCCCCAGAAGCGGTCAGGAGGGTCGCATAAGCGGTTTTGGGCAGTGCCCGCAGGTGCGGAAGTTTTGGCGCACCTGCGTGACCGTAGGTGCGAGAGCAGTAGTCACAGAAGCGGATGGGCTCGCAGAGGCGGTCCCTTTTGTCCGCAGATGAGGAGCTTGGCCAGGTAAGGGAAATGCGCACCTGCGAGGATTTTGTCGCAGGTGCGGGACCGCAGATGCGGCCAAGGCACCACAGGTGAGGAAAATCGTTGGGCAGAATCGTTTTAAGAGCGGGATTTGGCTCTTCTTCTCTTATTTTTCACTTGGTTGGGGCGATTTTGGAGAGCTTCAAGGAGGGATTTTCATCATCTATGTCAAGGTAAGTGATTCTCGCGTATTGTGAGTTAAATACAAGATTTATACATGGATTCAAGCATGAAAATTTGTAGAAATTTGGGATTTTGAAGAAAAACCTAAAAATTGGTATTCTTGTATTTTGATCATGAATTTGGGCATGAAATTTAGAATAAATTATATATTTGAGTTTGTAGTGCTATGGGTAGTGTTTGTCTTTGAAAAGTTTTGGAATCTGGGCATGTGAGCCCGATGGTTGCTTTATCGATTTTTCGAGCGGAGTTAGAAATTGTTATAAATTAATTAATTATGAGTATTAGAGTACATTTTGATTGGGTTTCATCTTAATTGACTAGTTTTGGAGCAACGGGCATCAGTTTGAGGTGTTAGAGGGTTTTGGAGCCGGTTATGAAATTTCGGAGCGAGGTAAGTCTCCTGTCTAACTCTGTGAGGGGGAAATTACCCCTAAGTGTTGTACAATCATGTGTGCTACTTGTTTTGGAGGGCTACGTACGCGCGAGGTGTCGACAACCCGTACGTAGCTACATTCATGTTATTGTACGGGTAGGCTTAGGTTCACATCATGCTATAGCTGTATTATTTAAGAAGTCTCTCGCCTATTAAATTCATCTGTTTTATATTACTACTTAAGACTAGACTTATTATTGTAGAGACTTCACGAGTTCATGATTAGTCACAGAATAATTCTACTCCTCTTACGGCATATTTCCGCAATATATATACTTCATTGAAAGGTTTTTGTTAAAGAAATTACAACTCACACGTTTATTCGTGAGTGGGGTCAAGGACCCGTCAAAGCTTCTTACTCTTATAGGATCGGGCCGTTCGCGTCGGCAGGAATTTGTATTTCACTCTTATGGGATCAGGCCGTTCGTGTCGTCAGGAATTTATATTTCACTCTTATGGGATCGGGCCGTTCGCCTCGGCAGGATTTATGTACCACACTCTCATGGGAGCGGGCCGTTCGCCTCGACAGTTTAATAGATGTATCTATGGTTCGGGCCGTTCGACCCTCGGCAGTGCACAGTTTAAATATTTATGTTGGATCGGGTCATACGCCTCGGCATTTCCTATATCATATCCTCACGGATTCATGCGTAATATTTGGCAAAAAGCCAGTGTATCTGTGAGTTTTTCTTATTTGAGTTATGACGATATATCTGATGAGATCCACCATATACATATATATATGATCTGGTTAAGGAGGGAATTTCTAATGGAGAGCTTGAGTTCCTCGTAAAGAGGGGGAATTTGTACCACGTTATTTATTATTTGTTTACCTCATTTATTTACTCTGCCTCATATTTACTTATCTCTTTACTGTACTTGATATTATTGGACCACTAGTGAGTGTCTATGTCGACCCCTCATCACTACTTCTCCGGGGTTAGGCTAGATACTTACTAGATACACGTTGATTACATACTCATGCTACACTTGCTGCACATTTTTGTATAGGTACATATGTGACTAGTGGCCTTGTGATAGCACAGGCGTGTATGCATACGGTGACTTACGTGAGCTGCATTCCACATTATGACCTGCAGCCGGCAGAGTCTCCTTCAGAGTATTTATATATCTCATGTCCAAATTTATAATCCGAACAAATGATGTATTTTATTTTACATTCCTAGTTGATACTCATGTACTTGTGACACCGGGTTTTGGGGTGACTATGAGTTATTTTGTATTGAAATTTGTTAAAAATATTATCATTTACTCTGTAAATTCCATCTTCTACTGTTTAATAGAAGGAAAAATATGATTTCAAAATATTAAAATGAGAACCAAATTGAGTATTTATTGTTGACTTGCCTGACAGCGGTGTCTGGCTCCATTACGACCTTTAATAGATTTTGGGTCGTGACAATTTCCCATTAAAACCTTTTCATCACTTGTTGCAACTTCATAATGTTTGAAGAAACTCTTGTCATTGCATACATGAACTGTGGCACCGGAATCATACCACCAATCCGCAGATCTCATAGTTGCTGCCATGTTGCATTCGGTTACCATACTCAGATTCAAGTTGGTAAAGGCAGAAATCATAGCAACAATATCCGAAGAAGAAGCTTGTTGTTGTTCAACATTATTTACCCTATTCTGTCCAATATTTTCTTCATTTTTCTGTCTCTTACGAAATCTGCAATCTCTCTTAAAATGGCCCATTTTTCTGCAAGTATAACACGAACCTTTCTTAATGTTAGAAGAATTTTCCTTTGGAGCAACCTTAAACTTTCTCTTCTTTCCAGTCTTGTTTCCATATTTTCTAGAATTGTTTGCCTTACTAGACTCAACTTAATTCACCTTTGAACTAGTTTCCGCATCATATTTATTTTCATATTTTCTTGACTCTTTTTCAATCCGAATATGCGTTGTCAACTGGTCCACATTAAAGTCTTCGGAAGAATGTAATAATTTCTTCCTATAGTCATTCCAAGTGGCTGGTAATTTTGCAAGTACAACACCCACTTGAAGAGATTCAGAAACATCGACTTTAAAATCTTTGAGTCTAGATATCAAGACAAGCAACTCATCAACATGTTTCATGACAGATTTCCCATCTACCATTTGAAATTCAGAAAATTTCATTCCAAGGAATCTGTCCGTTCCTTGTTTCAAAGAAGTAAATTTCTGTTCCAAGGCTTTCCAAATTTCTTGTGGTGATTTGTGAGTATGGAAAAAATCATATAAATAATCAGAAAGTGAGTTTAAAATAAAACCTCTACAACGCACCTCATCATCTTCACGTTTTTTGCGCGCCGCCTTAATTTCGTCAGAATCTTGAGCAGTAGGTTCTGGCATTGCAGGAAGATAAAAACTCAGCAGATATGTGTCACGACCCAAAATCACACCTGTCGTGATGGCGCCTATCTTAATACTAGGCAAGCCGACAACCTCAATAAACCATAAATTTCAACTTCTATATTTGATGCCGAAACCTATTAAATCAAGTCCGATTGATATCAAACTTTGCTCACAAGTCATAAATAACATGACAGACCTATTTCAATTTCTAGAATCAGATTCCGACCACAATATCAAAAAGTCAACTCCCGGTCAAACTTCCAATCTTTCAATTTTTCATTTTCGCCATTTCAAGCCTAATTTAACTACGGACATCCAAATAATTTTTCGGACACACTCCTAAGTCCAAAATCACCATACGGAGCTATTGAAATCATCGAAACTCTATTCCGCGAGGTCGTTTACACATATTCAACATCCGATTAGTTATTTTAACTTAAGCTTTAAATCTTGGAACTAAGTATTCCAATTCATTCCGAAACTTTCCCGACAAATCACATAATCGCAATTGAGCATAAAATATTCAGTACATGGGGAAACGGGGCTGTAATACTCAAAACGACCGGCTGGGTCGTTACATTCTCCCCCTCTTAAATAAACGTTCGTCCTCGAATGGGTTTAGAATAATAATTGGAGTCTCAAATAGGTGTGATATTTGCTCTGCATCTCCCGCTCAGTCTCCCAGGTAGCTTCTCCGACTGGCTGGCCTCTCCACTGCACTTTCACTGAAGCTATGTCCTTTGATCTTAACTTTCGAACCTGCCGGTCCAAAATGGCCACCGACTCCACGTCATAAATCAAATTACCATCCAACTGAACCGTACTGAAATCCAAAACATGAGACGGATCTACGACATATTTCCGGAGCATAGATACATGAAATATTGGATGAACACCCGATAGACTAGGAGGCAATGCAAGTTCATAAGCCACTTCTCCAATCTTTTTAAGTATCTCAAAAGGACCAATATACCTAGAACTCAACTTGCCCCTCTTTCCGAACCTCATAACACCCTTCATAGGCGAAACTCGGAGTAGTACCTTCTCTCTTACCATGTAAGAAACATCACGAACTTTCTAATCGGCATAACTCTTCTGTCTAGATTGCGCCGTGCGAAGTCGATCCTGAATCAATTTAACCTTTTCCAAAGCATCTTGAACTAAATCAGTACCCAATAGCCTAGCCTCACCCGGCTCAAACCAACCCACCGAGATCGACACTGTCTCCCATACAAAGCCTCATACGGAGCCATCTGAATGCTCGATTAGTAGCTATTATTGTAAGTAAACTCTGCAAGCGGCAGAAACGGATCCCAAGAAACCTCGAAATCTATAACACAAGCACGTAGCATATTTTTCAATATCTAAATAGTGCGCTCAGACTGTCCGTCCGTTTAAGGGTGAAATGTTGTACTCAACCGAAACTGCGTGCCTAATTCTCGCTATACTGTTCTCCAAAACTGTGATGTAAACTGCGTGCCCCGATCTGAAATGATGGACACTGGCACACCGTGTAGGCGAACAATCTCGCGGATATAAATCTCGGCCAACCGCTCCAAAGAATAAGTAGTACCGACTGGAATAAAATACGCATACTTGGTTAACCGATCCACAATCACAACATCAAACTTCCTCGAAGTCTGTGGGTGCCAACTACGAAGTCCATGGTAATACGCTCCCATTTCCATTCCAGAATTTCAAGTCTCTGAAGCAATCCACTTGGTCTCTAATGCTCGTACTTCACATGTTGACAATTTAAACACCGAGCTACAAACCCCACTATATCTTTCTTCATTCTTCTCCACCAATAGTGCTGCCTCAAGTCCTGGTACATCTTAGCGGCACCCGGATGAATGGAATACCGCAAACTGTGGGCTTCTTCAAGAATCAATTCACGCAGCCTATCTATATTTGGCACACAAATCTGACCCTGCATTCTCAACATCCCATCATCTCCAATAGTAACATCTTTGGCATTGCCGTGCTGAACTGTGTCCTTCAGGATAAGCAAATAGGGATCATCATACTAGCGCTCTCTGATGCGGTCATATAAGGAAGACCCCGAAACCATACAAGCTAGAACCCGACTGGGCTCCGAAACATCTAACCTCACAAACTGATTGGCCAAGGCCTGAACATCAACTGCAAGAGGCCTCTCACTAACACGAATGAATGCAAGGCTGCCCACACTCACCGCCTTTCTACTCAAGTCATCGGCCACCACATTGGCCTTCCCGGGATGATACAAAATGGTAATATCAAAGTCCTTTAGCAGTTCCAACCATCTTCGCTGCCTCAAATTTAAATCCTTCTATTTGAATAAGTGTTGAAGACTCCGATGATCTATAAATACCTCACAATACACACCATAGAGATAGTGCCTCCAAATTTTCAATGCATGAATGATGGCTGCCAATTCTAAATCATGAACATGGTAGTTCTTTTCATGTGGCTTCAATTAGCGTGAAGCATAAGCAATCACTCAACCCTCCTGCATTAAGACACACCCAATACTGATCCGAGAAGTATCACAATATACAATATAAGAACCCGACGATGAAGGCAAAACTAGAACTGGAGTTGTGGTCAAGGCATTCTTGAGCTTCTGAAAGCTCTCTTCACATTCATCCGACCACCTGAATGGAGCACCTTTCTGGGTCAATTGACAATACCCGGCCAAGCCGAGAAAACTCTGAATCTCAGTAGCTGAAGATGGCCTGGGCCAACTCTGAGCTGCTTCTATCTTCTTCGGATTCACCTTAATTCCCTCACTGGACTCTATGTGTCCCAAGAATGCCACCGAACTAAGCCAGAACTCACACTTAGAAAATTTGGCATAAAGTTTCTTCTTCCTCAGCCTCTGCAGTACAATACTCAAATGTTGTGCATGTTCCTCCTGGCTATGTGAGTACACCAGGATATCATCAATAAATACTACGACGAATGAATCAAGATATGGTTGGAATATACTGTTCATCAAGTGCATGAATGTTGCTGGGGCGTTGGTCAGCCCAAAAGATATCACGAGAAATTCATAGTGACCATAACGGGTTCTGAATACCGTCTTTAGAATATCCGAATCTCAAATTTTCAATTGGTGATACCCAGACCTCAAATCAATCTTAGAGAATACCCTCGCTCCCTGAAGCTGGTCAAATAAATCATCAATACATGGCAAAGGATACTTGTTCTTATTTGTAACTTTGTTCAACTGCCCGTAGTCGATGCACATCCGCATAGTACCATCTTTATTTTTCACAAACAGAACCGATACACCCCAAGGAGACACACTAGGCCTAATAAATCTCTTATCAAGAAGTTCCTGAAGTTGCTCTTTCAATTCTTTCAATTCTATTGGTGCCATACAATACGGAGGAATAGAAATGGGCCGAGTGTCTGGCAACAAGCCAATACCGAAATCAATATCCCTATCAGGTGGCATACCCGGCAGGCCTGCAGGAAATATATCCAAAAAGTCTCGCACTACCGGTACAGAGTCAATAGTAGGAGTGTTTGCATCAACATCTCTCACAAAGGCCAAATATGACAAACACCCCTTTCCAACCACCCGTTGGGCCTTCAAGTAAGAAATTACCCTGCTGGGAACATAATCTAGCAAACCTCTCCACTCGACCTTCGGAAATCCCGGTGTCTTCAATGTTGCGATTTTTGCGTGACAGTCCAGAATAGCATGACATAGAGACAACCAATCCATACCCAAGATTATATCAAAATCAACCATACTAAGCAATAAGAGATCAACTCTAGTCTCCAGTCCCCCAATTGTTACAACACACGACTGATACACACGGTCCACAATAATAATATTGCCCACCGACGTAGATACACAAACAGGTGAAACTAAAGACTCACGGTGCATATCCAGATAACGAACAAAATATGATAATACATACGAATATGTGGAACCAGGGTCAAATAATAAAGAAGCTTCCCTGTGGCATACTGAGACAATACCTGTGATTACTGCATCTGAAGCAACGACATCTGGCGTGGCAGGAATAGCATAGAATCAGGCTTGACCGCCACCTGTCGACCTCCCCGTCTAGGGCGACTGATCTCATCCAAGTTCACACCTCAATTCGAGATTATGAAAATGGTCGATGCAATAATAATACCTAACAAGAGTCGGGGTCAAATTCCGCAGGGAGCTATATGTATGGGAGTTAGTAGTATATATCGTAGCGCGTGAGTTTGTATATTTAAATTTGCACTTCCAAAAAATTCAATTGTTTTAAAGTCTAAATTAAACTACAATTGCAATTTAAAAAATAAAACTAGGAAATTATTTTTGTTGTTTTTCTAATGTTATAAAAAGGCCTAGGGCTATGACTTCACCTAGGTGTTTACCTAATTGGATATAAGCTTTAAAGCTTGTTTTATTGTTCGAGGTGTATTATAGCTATCAACACTAAATTACCCACTCAATACCCCTCGGTCAAAGAGTGATTTATCCCAATTTGGCTTTCTCAAATCCAAATGGGTATTGAACAAAACGGTTGATAAAAAGCTCAAGTCGGGTTGTTACTATCTCTAGGTTCAACCCTTTAATTGGGATTGTCAATCTCTCGATTGACCCAATTTCTTGTTAGCCAAGTTTTCCTAGACTAAATCTCTCTTTCTCAAGTAGAGACCAAGTCAAATAGGCATGAACTAATATTTACAATTATTAATTCCACAAATAAAATAAAAAACAAGGCTAAATAATAAACACCCAACCATAAACAAGCATTACATTAAACACCCGTTAAGTTTACACACTAGGGTTAGGTCACAACCCTAGTGAAAATCTAGCTACTCATGCTTGAAATGGAAGAAAAAGAAGAAGAAATGAGAATTAAACTCATATTGCTAATTGAAATGATAAAATCTATGTTCAAATAGCTCAAAATATGAAAACTACTAAAAAGAGTAAAAGAAAACAGCTACTGTAGCAGCTGATGTCAAAAGTTCACCTAAAAATGTGAAGCTCGTCTATT